TTATAACAAAAGTTTTTATCTATGTACAAGGCCACACCACCTCCCATCTTATTCTCTCTGTTTGTACATACCAAGTCATAGCCATCAAGGTCAAAATCCATTCCCCTTACATTATTAATCCATGTTTCAGAAATAGCAATTATATTAAAAGACTGTTTTAGACTACTAAGATAATGTTTTATACTCTGAAAGTTTGCGTATAAACTTCTGCTATTGAAGAAAGGTATCAGATGAAGAAAGCACATGCCATTGATTATATTAAATGTGTCTCTAGCACTCAAGCCCCTCACAGATACAACATCCATTCATCCAAGTCAAAGCTCTGCAACATCCAATAACATACAGGGTTATCCTGGACATTTTCTCCACTACTCTGTAACAGTCATTGTAGCCTGTTCACTAATGCTGTAAATAAAGGTACAAGCGCATGTTGAAATATACAAACCTGTTGTCAGACTACGTGCCACATGTTCGTCGCACCACTAATGATTTAAATTACAAGTATGTGTTGAGGTGGAGCGACAGCAGCTCCATCTGATGTAGCTGTCAGTGACTGTCAGGATGAAGGACCATGGCAGTTTGTTACTTTATCACTTTATCAGGCTCTATGGCAGTGAAAGTGCTTCTAAAGTTATTCTTTAAATTACAATGACTGGCCACTTTATTAGGTACAGCTGTATGCACTTCAATGCAGCACGTCCACCTTAACGTCTGTGTTTATGAAGCTCAGAATGTTTCAGTTTTGGTGAAAGTGTCATAAATGAATAAATTCAATTATATGTTTATTATTGAGGTCATAGTTAAAGATAAAGTTCCAGTTCCCTTTACCTTCAGGTTGGTGGAGAGTTCCTGCCTCAAGTGGAGGAGTTCAAGTATCTTGGGGTCTTGTTCACGAATGAGGGAAGGATGGAACGGGAGATTGACAGGCGATCGGTGCAGCTTCTGCAGTAATGCGGTCGATGTACCGGTCCGTCGTGGTGAAGACAGAGCTGAGCTGTAAGGTGAAGCTCTCGATTTACTGGTCTATCTACGTTCCGACTCTCACCTATGGTCATGAACTTTGGGTCATGACCGAAAGGGCAAGATCCCGGATACAGGCGGGCCGAACGA